CGACAGAGGCGGCCTCCCGGCTTCACCCTGGGACCCGCGCTCTGCTGAGCCACCCGCCGCCGGCCTCCAGGGTCCCTCTCTGTCCCTCCTTTGCAGGTGGCGGGACGATCCCAGGGAAGAAGGACAGAGATTCGGCCCCTCCGGAAGGCAGCAGCCCCAGGTGATGGGCCGGTGTCTCGGGCCACCCAGGTGGCACCCGGTTAGCATGGGGGGGGTGAACGTGGGGGGACATGGGGCAGTGGGGAGGCCAGCCATGCCAGAGAGTTCCTTCTGGCTCTCCGCGAGGCCCCCAGGGTTGCGGAGACCTGCTTCTGGCCAGCGTCTGTGGGCCACTGTCCCCCCACTCCAGCCAGTCTCACGGGGGCCTGGGATCTGGGATGGAGTCCCCGCCACCCAGCTGGGCAGTGGGTTGACACCCACTCTCCCCACGTGTAGCCGAGGCCTGAAGGCTGATCCTCCCTGCTTGGGGGAGGAGATGATTCCAGAAAGAGGAATGTGAGGGGCAGAGGCGGCAGCCCCTAGGGGAGGGGAGAGGTCCTGTGGGAGAAGAGGAGAGAGGAGAGGTGGGAAGGGTGGGGGCAGGGGAGGAGGAGGAGAAAGAAAGGGAAAGAGCAGCAGCCCTGCCCCCCTCAGCCACAGCTGAGACAAGGGACCCAGCTCCTCAAGGCCAAAGCCGGCCACCTGCCACCGTCCGGGGCTGAATCTGCCACTCAGGCCTCCCAGGGATTCCCAGACATCTCAATTATTGGCCAAAATTTTCACCTCTGGGTAGATCACATAAAATCCCGATTTCTGGCTTCTGTCCGTGGCAGTGAGGGCAGCGCACTTCCAACAGGCTTGGGGTCCCCTCACCCCCATCCCCGTTGTCCCTACAGCTGTCCCCTTCCTCGGGTCCCGTGGGCTGACCGACCCCTAGGCGCTGGCTTTGCAGCCCCGGCTTAAGAGGATGAAGGGTCCCCGTTTCTCTCTCTGAGTGAATTAAACACGGGAAGGACCCTGAGGCGGCGCCTGAGGGGGCAGGGCCAGTCCAGCCAGTGCAGGAGCCGCCCAGGGTCTTGTGTTGAGAGGACGGAATGTCCCCAGGAGGGAGCTGCAGCCCAGCCCTGATCCCCCAGGCTCTCGGCTCCGCGCTGTCCGGTCAGCACCTGCTGTCCCCGCGTAGCTGCTTCGGTGCCCGGCGGTGTCTGGGTGGGGAAGTGGACCCATGTTCTGGACTGGCTGCTGTTTCTCGTCCCCTCGTCCTGGGGCTGCGTGTGTGCCTGGGCCAGAGTTCCAGTCCCCAGGCGGTGACGGGCCCATCGTGCCAGGAGGGCCCTCCCTCCACGTCTCCAGGAAGGCACAGGGGCCTGGGGGTGTCCCCACGGCCAGACTGCACTGTCCTACCCTCACCTCGGGACACCAGAATGCTTCAGTTGCACGGGAAGGAGTCTCCCTCAGGGCTGCAGGGACCTCCATGGGACAGTGACTGAGATCACCTGGCAGCAGTCAGGATGCCCTGGGGCTGGGGAGGAAGCCTGTCCTCCCAGGGGGCGATGGCCCTGGTCTGAGTGGCCTCTGCAGCCGCCTGGGGGCGGGGCAAGAGGGCGGAGCATCTCTGAGCTCCTCTCCTGGAGCCCCTGTCCCCTGGGGCCCCTCAGGAAAGCGAATGGAGCCTTCTGGTCTGGTCTCAATGTGCTCTGGACGAAGGGGGAGGGAAGTGTCTGAGGTTGGGTCACCACCCTGGGACTGCCCCATCTCTGCTTTGCCCCCAGTGTCCTTCCGTGGCCGTACCGCCACCCAGGCCCCTGGCCTAACTGCAGCCGTATAAATCCTGCCATGCTTCGACTTTTCTCTGCCCCCACTCCTGGCCTCCTTCTCCACCTCCCACCTCAGGGTGGATGCTTCACCCTGCTCTGTGGCCTGTTGCTGTCTATGCCCAGCACCCAACTCCCACGCTTCAGCTCAAGGCCTGTCCCCTGGCCCTTGTGCCATAGATCTGCCATGGACCCAGACTGAGGGGAACTATCTCCACTCCTCCCTGGGGGTCCTGCCTCCCTTCGGAGTCCTCATCCATACATGGCTACAGGGCACAGAGGGGCCCTTTTAGATCAGTCTGATGTGTGATTCGGTGTCTCTCTTCCCCAAACCCTTTAGAGTTTTTCTTTGTCCCCACAGATTAACATTTGGGGCTTTTTCCTGCCTCAGGGCCTTTGCACCTGCTGCCCCCCC